ATTAAAATCAGTTTATGATGCACAAACCCATGTGCTTATGGCAATTCTACAGTTTTTTTATGAATCAAACAAAGAGGTTTTAGAGTAGACTTAAGGAAAAAAATTTGGACATTGGTTTTATGTCATTTGAATCAATATTGAGAGTTTGAAGGATTTTCAAAGTTAGTGATGTTTTCATTGGATTTAAATTTTGAGAAATAAAAATATGTTTACAAATTTGAGGGTTCTTTGAGTTCTATAGTATATATATATAGGTGAAATTTGGATAGATTTTTTTTGTGCTTGTTTCCAATTTGTGTGCAAACTTTGAGTCACTTGAATAATTAAATTGAACCATATGAGGGTTTTTGTAGATTATGGTCTCAAAAATTTGTAATTTAGGATCAATAAGTGATTTTTAGATGTAACAATATTTGCTAATGGGATTGAAGCAAAATTTAGAGATTTCACTTAAGACTTAAATACCTACACACAATCCAATTTTTTGAGCAATTAAATAGTCCAATGAGGAGAAATTGGTATCAAAATATTAGTATTTGAGTTGAAAAGGGATGACAATCAATAATTAAAAGATTTTGGGAGTTTTTATTACAATTAATAAGTTTGATTCTTCTCAAACTTTATATATTTATTAATTTTTTATTGATTTAAGTCAAGATAAAATTTTAGTTAAAATATACGATTTAATTAATATTTATTGAAGTTTAAAATAGCTTTAGTAATTGATTGAAATTTACTTGAGATTCTTTTGGAATTGTTTAGGATTTTAGATTTTATTAGGCTTTGATCTAGGATTATAGTTTAGGATTTGCTTAAGATTTAGAATATTTTAGGATTTAGGATTTTATTAGGATTTCATTAGGATTTGATCTAGGATTTAGTTGAGGTTCATTAGGATTTTAATTAAGATTTCAATTAAGATTTGACCTTAGATTTGGTTAAGGTTCATTAGGATTTTGATTAGGATTAAATTAATATTAATTAAGATTTATTCAAGATTTATTTAAATTCTATATTTTTATTTATTTTTAGGATTTTTTATTATTTTTTATAAAAATTTTATTTTCAGATTTTTTTAAAGATTGTTATTACTTCTTTAAGATTTTTTTTTTGTTTTTAGGATTTTTTTATTATATTTCTTCGAAGTCAAATTATTACTTCTTTGCTTTTTTATGACTTATTTTAAATTTATTTTCATTGGTTAAGATTTAATTGAGGTTATTAAAAATTATTTAAAGTTTATTTTAAATTCTATTAGACTTGGTAGAATTATTGTTGCATTTTTATTTATCTTCCACAACTAGGTGCCTTGTGCATTCTCAAGCAAAAATATACATATTACAACTTTCAATCCAACACTTTGTAAGTCTACTACAAAACTAATTGAACACACCTCCATCAATGTTAGAGCTCTAATTCACCTCTCAAAAACCAAAAAAACAGAAAAAAGAAGGAAAAAGAAATTTTGGAATGCTTGAAGCCTGTAAATGCTACAAAAAAATCAAATAAGAGAAGTAAACAGTTTTGGTCCATGAAAGCTTGGATCTCTATTGGCATGGAGGTTGCCAAAATTTGGAGGCAACCTCTTTTCCTTCAATCCATCTTTCCTTATCTTTCTTTTATTTTTATTTTTATTTTTTTCTTTTCATCTTTTTTTTTTTCTTTTCTTCCTTCTTTTGACTTTTATTTCTTATTTTGTTTTTGGATTTTTTTCAATTAGTGATTCTATTTTAGCTCACATCCAATTAAAATTTTAATGATAATGAAATATTATATTAAAAATTCTACTTCTATATAACCTAAATTTAAAAAAATATATTTATTTTAAAACTCTTTTTTAAGAAAATTCTATAAGAAATCCAATCTTATATTGAAATCTTATTTTTTACTATTAATGTCAAAAATCCTACATTAATTTACTAAATTGGTAATTTTAAGCACCTTAAGTGTCTTTTTTTGTACCAACAACATAAGTGAATCAATTGTGTGATTCATAAGCAACTTCTTTAATTCTTCTAGAACTTTCTATAATCTGCTAGAATATTTTTGAAATATTTTATAAAATTTTATTAAAATATTTTTAAAATGTTATAAAACCTTTTAAAATTTAATAAAATATTATAAAAATAATTCTAAAATATTTTTGTTAGATGTCTGTAATACTTAAAGATTAATTGAACAATCATACAAATGATGCTTTGGAAGGACATCTACACTCTTCTTTTCAAAATCATCTTGATAATCTTGATATTGACTTAGAATGCTACTTGTAGTCTTTCCACCATCAAAAATGGATGTAGTGTATATAAAAAAATGCGACCTTTTTCTTGCACCATGCATGAAAGCTCTTGTACATAGTAATTATGATTTGAATATATTGGATTTATGGATTTCTATTTGATTGACAAAATCTTTGATTAAACTATGAAAAAATTTAAGATTACAAGAAATCTAATCTATTTGAGAATTATACTTCTTTAGCTATAATAATTTTAAAATAACTAAATTAGAAGAAGATCTAATTATGTTAAATATTACTAAATTATTATGATCATTAGTTGTTATACTAAAAGAAGATAGGTTGATATTCCTAAATCTAATAAGACAAAGACTTTGTGATTATTTGGTCTTGGACATCTTATTGTAAAGCAAGGTGAAGGATCTAAAGAGAAAATAGGACCTTTATTAGGTCTCATATAAGATTCCAAGTGCAAGATTCTTATTGTAATTGAAAAAAATAGTTTTCTAACAGATTGATTTCTTTGGCAACCATGCTCTTTATTTTGTAGTTATGTTCTTTCTTTGAACAATGTTAAGTAGTGTGCTTAGGTTTTTCATAATATAAGCACAAACCTTTTTGATAGTGTCAAGTCTTTTCTTGTTTGATAAGAGGTTTGAAACAACCATGTCAATTTGCATAGGTTCTAATCTTGATGAATAAGCTTTTGTAAACTTAGAGGTTGTTGCCATGACTTGACTTGTAGCTCTCTAACCTAATCTTTATTCTTACTATCTCTTAAAGAGTTGATTGTCGCATGCAATGGCTTTAGTAATAAATTATTGTAATAAGTTTGCTCTTGGCATTATCAATAATAAATCTTTTATGTTATCTTTTATCCATATTAAAATTGATTGATAAGAGCCTTGTCATTCCAAACCACATTATATGCAAGGTTTTAGAATTCAACAATATATATAGTGGTTGAATATGATCCTTATTGTAAAGATATGAAGACTAATATATAAAAACATATATGATGGATGAATATGTAGACACATTATAAAGATATGAAGACATATATGGTGGTTGAAAATGATCCTACATTGTTAAAGACAAAAAGACGAGAAAGTCTTCAAAGAAGACTAACTAATAAGGCATTAACAAGAGTAAAAAAGGCTTTACCCTTGATTCCATATATACTATCTAAGTAAGAGCTATGTAGCAACATTTTATAAAACCTTTAATACATGTCTAACTTATATGACAAGTTTCTTATACATATGAGCCATATAATTAGCTTATTTCACAAACTACTAAAATGTACAATACGTGGTTAATTTGTTGGCCAAGTTTCTAACTTATCAATCAACTACAAACACATATGAAATCAAATACACTTCTATGAAGCTTCTAAGAAGCTTTGCCACAACATAATATCAAATCTATCTATATTTACTTTCTACCTAATAATTTTTATCAAGATAAATATATATGTCTTTGATAGGTATTAATATATATATATTTGTAATAATAATACCACCAATAAAATTTATTAAATTTGATATAAATTAATGCCATTATACAATCTTAAGCTAGTATAAAATCCTTTACGAATAAAACCAACTAAGATAATTAAGTATTTATTTTAATATATTATTGCATCAAAATAAAGTAAAGATTATGAATTTTTTTATGAGCATATTATTTCTTTAAATTAATATTAATTTTTTATTGCAAAAGTTTTAGAAATGATATTATAAAAAGTTGTGTTGGTAAAAATTCTTTATATTACTAAATTTAGTATCAAAGATCTCAATATAAACTAAATCAATAATTATTATATAAATCTAAAATTAAATATTAATATTGGATTTAAAAATTCACATATTATCTTTGATATATTCAAAAGATAAAATAAATAATTTATAAAAATTATATTATATAAATAATAAAAAGAAATTATAAAATCATCTCATACAATAAACAATTCTATAATAAACAAATGTAGTAGAAAATCTTTTAAATTTTTTGTTTCCTATGATCTTAATAAAATGTTTTAAATTAACTAAAAAAAAATGAAATTTCTGAAAATTCTTTATGTAAGTCATTGTAATGTATTTTTTCTACTAACTTTAATATAAAACAAACCATGTTGACAAATTTATATAAAAAAATTTTCTAATAAAACGTGATATGAATTGTTACAAAGTTTAAAAACAAATTATTAGCTTAAAAATAATAAATTCATGAAAATAACATACTAAAAGTATATGTAATTTCATAAATTATTTATTTATTTACATACATACTTACATATATACATGTGATTCTTCTATTTAACTTTAAATTGATTAAACTATTCATAAATGTTCAAAACAACAAACGGTAGCTTTGACAAGTTTAATCTAAATTAGCATACTCAAAAATATAATACAACATTTTTTATTTTTTATTTTTCAAACTATCATTTTGCAACACAATGGGTAAGAGGAAATGGCGGATCACTTTGAGAGGAGGATGTCGCGAGCAGCGAATAAGGCGAGGACTATGGGGAAGTCCGGTAGGGACGATCTCGAGGGAGTCGTAAGCAACTTGGTGGCCACCATTGCAATCGCCACTTCGATGAATATACTTCGATCGCATGAAGACGTTCTTCTCCAGTTCAAATTCTCTTCTCCCCGCCCTAACGAGTTTGCAATACCCGGTGGGGAGATTGACCCTCTTTCCTTCCCACATTCATTCGAGAACTCGTCGACGAATTTCGGCAGAAAGCAACGAAACCGGCTGTGAGTCCGACGGAAGTTTCTTCGATGAGAGATTAGAACAATAGTTCATGATCGGCACCCTAAGAAATGTTTTTCGCAGGTGCGGCAACGGGCATTGCGATGTCGATGCCAGCTTGCGAAGCTGTGGCTTCCAGCTCTACTTGATCACCTTGCTCCACTTGAAAACCTTCCTCGATGACCTGAAATCGGCTCGTCTTCGGGTTCGTTCTTCCACGCCCCATTATCATGTTCTATATTGGTAATGTTTGATTGTCGAGTGTGCCGGCGGTGGGCATGCCACTCGTCAAAATTGTGCCTCTCTTGTTCCCGAATGCAGTCAGGACTTTGTTTTTTCATTGCTCAGAGGGTGATGTCTTTGAAGCCTTGGGTTGGTGCGCAAGTTTGTAGGGTACTCTTTCCAGGTTGTAGATTGGTTTCTTTCTGCGATTGTTCAGTGTGATATGGAGTTCTGCCGCAAGTTTCTTGGTTTCGAGGTTTTTCCCCTTGATTGATTTGCTCATGCATTGCACCTGCGTCCCATGTAGTTTCGACGGGCACAGGTGCGTAGTATTTGAGTCTTGTTGGTGCTAGGTCTCATGTGTCATTCCGTTTGAGGTTTTAGGCGTTTTTTTTAAGTGTTGAGAGAATGTGCTCACTTCAAACTAGTTAGAAACTCGTGCTTAATCTCTGTTTCATGGTCTTTTCATTCAAGATTGTGTATCGTGAAAGTGTGCCGCAATTGCACCAACCCCTAAGCTACAGCTGTTCTATCTCTTGCAGTTTCAGAACGCAGGTATTCTTTTGACGGTGTAGGCGTGATGTTGCCTTTTATCGGGGATTTTGAATTCAAGTAGACGAGCTACTGTCTTCAAAAGAAGACGTTCCATTACAGGCTGAAACTTACTTCATCGAAAATTCAGCTGTTCAGCCATGGCGTTAGGAATTGGACGAGATATAGAGGCGAAGCGTTGGCTTCGTTGCATGATATGGCAGTCAGCAGGAACGTCAGCAGTATGGATATTTTGGCATTGCATGTTCTCTGGGAACTCCAACAGATTCTGGTGGTTTGTGCCCTCGGCTTGGTCGAGCTTTTGGTTCCTTGTTTTTCAAGCCTCTCAGTTTCTGTTTTTACTCGGGAAAATGTTCGTGACAACTTGCCAAGAAAGAGAAGTAGCATCTGGGTTGGATCTAGTTTCAGGTGTATGGAAGCTTACATGGAACGTCTTGGTGGGTATCTCATGGGAGCCTGAGGATGCGCGGCACTTGTCCTCAAAAATTAGTAGAATTCGGGACCAAATCATTTTCACCTTACTATGTGCGATCTCTGGGTTTTTCTCGCTTGTTTCTCTCGCGTCGACGGAATTGAGTCCGGTCAGTATCCTTGACATTGGTGTACGAGGCGCTTGGCTCGGCTTTGTGTATGCGTGTTTCTATCTTTACCAAAAGAAGCAGATCCTCACTTTTCCAATTATTCAGGTAAGAACTTGATCACCATAAATTTCGCAAACAACTTCAGCCTCATATTGAAACCACTGTCAGTCTTTATCTACTACTAACATGTTGCGAGTACGTACAAATTGCATCCCAGATTGTGACCCGTCATACCTAAGGGTTTATCGTCAAGAATTTGGACTTTTTCAGGTTTTGTTTGCTGCAGGACTTGTCCACTTGCGGAATCATTTGCTGTCAACTAAGGACTATGTTTTTATGAAGCTCATCCGTTTCTATATGTTCGTGCTGCGTCCAGTTGTTAGAAATTGGTTTGCTGCATACGTGTTCGAATGAAGTATGAGAACTGATTCATTGTTTTCAATCCATGCAGCGAAGTTTTGCTTACAGCCTGAAAATTGGAAGTTCTCGCCTGATCATTACCAGTGCGAAACTGGGCGTGTTGGTTATGCCAGTAGCGGAGATTTTTTCGGACTTTATCAGTACTGTGCGAAGGCAGTCGCTTCATGAGATTTTGGCAGATGGATTATCCTTATTTTTTTGGCAGCAGATTGTTTTGGTTTTTGGTGCTATCTGCGCAACTTTAAGTTGGGAACTCTGCCATCACCTAGTCCAGGTAAGCACTGTCACCTTCTTTAGATGTATTTTGCGGATCACTTCGTCATCGAGCATTTCTAGAGACGATTCGCACAGTGATATGGATATGTTATCAGCATTCTGAATGTATGCATTCGCTTGGAAGGTTAATAATGAGATGGAAATGTGTCTGGCCGAAATGCAGGTGATTCTGACTAGAAGGCATATATTTGCACCACCTCTGGGCTCTACGTTAGCTGAAACTCAACCAAGTGAACAGCTCCTCTCAATTTTAGAAGATGTCGAGAACCTTTCCCTTGTCCAGCACCTTGCATACCTCGACTTATGTATCGTCGCTGAGAGAAACGTGGATACGTGGCGGAGGACTGCTTTCTTCGAGGAGTCCGGAGAGACTTACAAACGAATTATTAGTGCGTGTTTAGGACCGCTCGACAACCTCACGCTGCGACTTGCGAACGGTTTGGAGATATTCGAGACCAAGTCTGGGGATTTTCTGAAGCAACTTGTGTTATCTCGGGGTCTGGATAAAAAATCTGAGAGTAGTAGCGTCAAAGAGATATTTAGGGACATTCAGGTATGCTCCTCTCTTCTTCTTCTTCTTCTTTTTTCTTTTTTCAATCGCAAAATCTACGTCTGCTATTCTTGGTGCAGGTGAGGACTGGGATAGAGTTTCTAACTATAGTTTAGTCTGATTTTACCTGCAACATCTATACTGCACATCATTTTCTCATGTTTTTAGCTCTCATTTTGTACCTTCCTGCAGACCTCTACATACGATATGTGTGTAGGACTGGAAATTACAGCTTTGATTTCTGAGAGGCATATGTTGTTAATTATTCCAGTGACTTCATGAAGCATTCTTTTATAAGACGTTTTCGTCCCAACTAGTAGGTTTGCTCACATGAGATTATGCGATGTTTCAGTTGTGTTCTTGGTGTGCACGAACTGTGGCGTCGTTGACAGCAACATCTAGGCTGGAAGACAGATACGGGGTAGCTCAATTAAGCGGCTGCAACAAGGCCACGCTCTCTTCTCTTTTATCTTGCCTCTTGGTAGTAGAGGTTTACCTTGGACGTAGGAGCAGTGCGAGAGGGGTGGGCTTCGTTGGTCCAAATAGTATCAAATGGACCGTTCCTTCACAAGGAGTTGTCGCAGACGTGGTTAAGCGCAAGGGCTCCCCATTTGGAAAAGGCTCCTCAATGCATAAAAAGGCGTATGCATTAGCTGACATCCTGCGAACCTCAATATACCAAATTATAGCCGTCTTTGGGGAGGAAATAATGGTGGGATCTATCAGTAACAAGGGTCTTGCTATTGCAGAAAGAGATTGGTTGAGCCAAACAACCCCTCTCTATGGATCACATGAAATGCACCTCCAGAAGCTGGGTCTCTTTCTAGAATACCGCGTCAGTTAAGCCGAGCATATACTGTGCTTGTCCTTCTGTGAGTTGGGAATGCCGCATTACCATCTGCACCGAGGAAAATGGGTTCTTGTTTTCGGCTCCAGCTGAAATATTTGCTCTTTTGAGTATAACTCCTCAGGTTGAAGTTGATTCTTTCTTTTTCGTAACAAGGCCCACGATGTAAGCATTATGGATGCTCTCCTAGTCCTTATATTACAGCTTTAACTGAGATCCAAATTCTATGAACATGTAACTATTCAAGATCCTCAGAACGCCTGTAAGTTTTTTAGACCACTCTGTCCATGTGTAATACAAGTTTTGGATATCATCATGAGGTTTTCATTTCTGGTATTTAGACAAGCATAGATAGTCAATTGTACATCTTGGAGGTTTGGAGACCATAGGAAACTTGATGCAGGCATCTACAGATAGGAGGGTCAGAGAAGCAGGAGCTAGTTCAGCTGAACTTATGGAGCCTGGTTACATCTCGTTACGGAGGTGCCACATATTTCTTTGCTGTAGATTTAAACAATGTTCCGGAGCACTAATGGAGGTGGAACTGTTAGACTGGTTTGAGAAAGGTTTCAGTGTTTCCTACAGACAAAGATATGACATTTGTGGTTGTCTCTTGTGGACGTGATATTGTGTGAAAGCAGATATCTTGTACATGATCCATCAATGGCTAGTACGTGTTGTTTATTTCTAGTAAGTGGTTTGCGTGAGATGACCTGTAATCGTGTGAATTCACAAATGCTGATAGTGAACGAGGATACGGACTACATTTCTATCTGTATGCAATCGAAGCTTTTAGTCCTGGGACCGTCGGCAGTATACATGTTTTGCAACAGAATATGAACATCTTTTAAGCCACTGACCATGGAGTTCCTCATGTCTAGAACAAGTCGGTTGGGAAATGCTTTAACTAGAGCTCATCCAACTTGTTTATTACCGAATATCAGCTTTGTGAACATCAGACTGTGTAATTTGAAGTTTCCTCATAAATTTCTGATCTTCATGAGTTTACATATCTTCTACATTTGGAAACATAATTTACAAAGAATATTGAAGTATTACTCAACTTGCACGAATTCTCAGTTCCTATTTGCGTTATACTTTAGAAAGAGACGATATTCAATTGAAGAGGATGTCTAGTTTTCATGTGGCCGAGCAAAATCCATCGATGTGCTTAGAAGGTGCTGAGATGGTTATCCCCCCAGAAAAAGCGACTGGCCTGAGTCGTAGTTGTACAAGAGGGATTTCTAAGCTTATTTGTCTAGAGTAAGCACTCACCTCCTCATCTTTACGTTACAATCTGTCCCTCACACCAACTCTCGACGAGGATAAATTCTGATCTCTAAAATCACTGCATTTCGAATGGTAGAGAACAAAAATTAGCATGTTAAGGTTTGCCACCCGAATTCCAGCGTCGCTTCATAATATCTCAGGAATCTGGCTCTACCCTTCCTAGAATTTCTCTGAATACTCTATAAACAGAGCTTGTACTCTGCATTTCACAACCAATTTTGTAGATGACAACCCAACCTTCTCGCAGTCGAGAAGGTTACTCAACTCTCCTCTTCAACCATGGATAGTGGCAATGGAGGCCTAAAAACAAGATACAAGGCAGGACCAAGGAAAGGCACAAGCGATAATGGCAGCAGCGCTGTTCCCTTGTCGAGCCACTTCCGCGTCGCCATATCATTGTAAACCCAGAACGGCGCCAACGAGCTCAAAGTCAAAAAATCGATGCTCATGACATGAATGAACTTACTCTCTCGGAAGTACTGATACATTTCGGTCCATTGATCAGCCTCTGCGACAGCAGCTGTGAGCAGTAATCCAGCGCCGGAGAGTAGCACCAAATAAGCGACCAGCTTATTCTCCAACACATTGAGTGGAAACTTGCTGAGCTCTTCCCTCGTCACCTTTGGAGGAGGTGGCTGCCATAACCCGAAATAGGGCACCAATGCAAACGCTCCAGCTGCAAAGGAAAAGATCAGGAATGGCCAAGCTGGCACTCCTCCTTTCTCGTTTTTGGCAGACGGGATTAGAAGGCTTGAGTAGATTATCGGCCACAATCCCATGATGAAAAATTCACATTTAAGAATCGTGTTCATCACGAAGCCATCATCAGAGCGTAACCCGACTAGCTTTTCAATGAAATATTGGTCTCGGTACGGCGTCTGAGCAGGAGCCACAGCTGCTGCATAATATACAAAAACAGCGTAAAGAGCAAAGACAAGCACGCTAGAAATCCATCCCAGAGCTTCCCCACCTCCACCTCCATTCCCCCCTCCGCCAGAACCTCCACCACCATTACTGCCATTGCCACTTCCGACCAACCCCTCAATCTTTCCTTCCACAGTTTCTACGCCAGACGTTTCGCTCTTCACTACCCTAGTACATGCTCCATCTCTACCATCGTCTAATTTCCCGCTACTTCTCCACATCAATTCCCGCATTGCAAACCCGCAGCTTAAAAACGACCGAGATGGTAAAGAGAACGACTGAGAAAAGTTGGCCAGGTTTGGAGAATCCATCCTTGAGCTGGAAAACCGCGTTGGAACTACCATCCTGCCACTGACGAGAGCAGCATGACTAAAATGCGATAAAACTGGAAGAAATGAGCGCGGGGAACTACCCACCATAGCCATGGCGCAATCGGTTCAGGCACTGAGAAATCCAAAGAAATGCAATGGGATGTATGAAACCCAAAATTCTATTGCAACTTCGCAGGGTTCTCAGAGACTGCAACAATACCGCAGTGCAGGCATCCCGACGTCGAAAACGTCATGCAGGTGTTGTGGAATGGAGATAAACCCTTATCGTCCATAGTGATTGTGAGGAGATCGATCAGAGTCGTTGGCGTGGGAATGGAGGTGGGATTGTTGCTAAATCCAAAAGCGGCAGGGTAACAGTCTGCTCCGTCAGCGGAGGAGGTTGCCGGAAGCCGAACACGGCTCGTTTTCGACAACACCATCACGCTGGAGATAAAGGCGTTCATCTTCTGGATGAAATGTCTGCGACGTACTCGAGACGGTGTCACGGATGAATTAATTCGTGGATGAAATGGATTGTGGATGAATGAATGATCTATATCCCAGTGGGACTAATGAACTTTTGAGCTTCAGTTTTGTGCTTGTGTCGTTCGTGACAGTTGCTTATTATGCCAGTTTGAATAAGGTTGACGTCTAGAAGATTTATTATTATTATTTTTAATTATATATATTTATATTTATATATTTTAAATTTTTATTTTATATTTATATTCTTTGTGTGAAGAAACTACAGGGTCTTTGAATGTAGAAGCTTACTTTGAAAAGCCAGTGTAAAAAAGTTTTACAAAATAAATACTTCTTAGTGGAAGAAAACCCTGTTTTAAAAACCTTGACTTTTGAAGACAGAATAAAGTGACAAGATGTCATAAAAACGACCAAGTTTTTCTTTTATTAAAATTCTAGATGTATCAACTTATATCTTAATATATATATATATATATATATATATACATATAACTTTCAAAACTAAAAGAATTATATTTTTTTACTATTTTAATGATTTTTCTAGCAAATTTTGGTACAGCTTCTCAAATCCTTTTTAAATAACATCTCTTGAGGTAGACATACCTCAAATTCTAAGCAAGAACATTATTTGTAGCATATATGAAATGAAATGATTTCTACCTTATTTTTTCCTCTTACGAACTTTTAGCTGCTTTTTCCAAGTACAAAGCCAATTAAGCGAGGTTCTTGATTTTCAACCAATAAAAGATTAAAAATTTGTGGCTACTTACTTTTTCTTTCAAACATAAAATCTCCTAAATAAAATTTGTATTTATTATTTATTTCTATATTATACTATTAATTTATAAAATAAGAAAATAAATAATATTTTTTAATTGAAGAAGTAATTTTTTTTTTTCTAGCAATGGGTACTTTAAACTTCAATTATATATTGCAACTATGACTAGTTCTAATTCAATTAGTTTTTCCAAGTTTTACAACATCCACATGAATAGAACTTGAAATAATTTTCAAAACCTATTCAAGTTTCAAGAAAAAGACACCACAATACTTGTTTTTGCTAAGAAAACCTCTAATTACGAATTATTATTATTATTTTACCAATAATCTCATAAAACATTTGACAATTTCCTAATTCCTGTAAAGAATTAATAAATTATCCGCCTATTGAATCCACTCAACAGTTTTAACTACCCCCTCGAATTGTGTAGCGGGGACGAAGGACCCTCGAAACTACGCGTAATTTTCTCATTCAAAAATGAAACGAATGAAAATCATCCATTTCTTATTCCAGGGAACGTGATTCCCCTTTCACGAAGGTCCAATCCACTTCCCAGTCTGAGTCGTTATGCAAGTGCGAGACGGCAACGCAAACTGGTTTGAAATTTCTAACGCGAGCTTGGTTCCACACAAAACTCTCTTGTGGGATTTCTTGTCTTTCAAGCGATGCTGCTTTGCTCTGCTGGATTCGGCGCTGCATCTGCATTTTTGCTGCAGAGGAGGTAACACTTTTGTCGATTTTTGAGATTTTTGCATCAGAGCTTTGTGTCGCATTCTGTATTTTGGAACAATGGGGATCGATTGAGCGATTGATCATGCTGTTGTGGATTGAAGTGTGCTGGCCGGGTTGAGTAGATTAAACCTGAGATTTCTGCGTCAAGATGTTCCTCCTGGTTGTTGGGTATTGCAGCGTTTTGAAGTTTTTTTAAAAGGAAGGAAAAAAAGAAAAAAAAAAAAAAAAAACTCTTCTTTTGTCGATCCTGGGTTGCACAGAAGTGATCTTAGAAGCTGAATCGATTTTGGGGATTTCTTATTGTTGAGTTCCTACCTGGATAATGTCGTAGGTAACATCGCAGAGGAATTTGACACGAGGAATTTCTCCATGAATGTAGCTGAGGGTGTACGCTGGTGGAGAGAGTCGTGCAGGCAACTGAGAAGATGTGAAGTTGATTGAAAAGGTCTGCCGCAGGCTGGGCACAAATATCTTCCGTATGAACTTTTGGAGTTTCTGAAGGTGTAGTGTCTTTTCCTTCCCGGCATATAGAACAGCACAAAGTGATTTGACGTCGGGTTCGTAATAGTGTCGTTCATATGAATTCGATTATCAGCGGTTTCTAGTAGCACCCCAGAAAGTCCTGATTTTGCAAGGGTTTTGCAGAATCTTGATACGTTCGTAGTAGTTCTCACTCGATCATCAAGGAGCTGCCCAAAATGTACTTACCATGTAGCACGAAGTCGCAATTGTACGTGAATTCTCTCCTTGTGCCCTGCATACTTCTATGGACAATCTTTAAAACTCTAAATAAATAATAAACAAAAGAAAAAGGAAGCTTTGAATCTCTATTTTTATCATACATGTGAGATTCATATGATAGTTTGCCATTCAGAAGGAGATTTTCCTGCTGGGAACAGCCGTGTCAGTATCTCAAATAATGGTCCTTGCAGTTCTGTTCTTCCGGAATTCTCAAGGTTTGAAACTTGTTAAACAGCAACGCGGTGCATTATCATGCTCAGAGGGAAGATAATTCTTGCAATTTGGTCTCCGTTCCGATGTTAGATGAAACATCGCAGGAGGGCTATGGCTTGTACCGGGAAGTTTTTGCATCCAGGAACAAGAAAAAGAGTGCAATTGCTTTCCTCACAATTATGTTGATAGCAGTAGTATTGTACACGAGCAAAATTGTTGCTCCCAAATGGCTGGAGCTCTTCCAAAGGGAGAAACAGTATCTTGTACGTGATATTGTCAGAAACAGTGCTATTACGAGCTGTCATTCTCAGCCTTACCGGTCATCATATCATTTCCAACCTCCCAAAAACTGGATGAATGGTGAGGAATCATGTTTTTCAGGGCTCTCGTAGTGGACAAGTTCGCAGTTTCCTTGCTTGCAACTGAATATGCTGTTAGTCGGTAAATGTATATGGCTAGAACTCGCTGGACTAAGCAATACAGCACATTAGTATTCTCGAGGCTTTTCATGCTTTCAGGATCTCAGGGAATCGTTTTAGATGGATAAGCTATTTTTTTGGGAACAAATTCAACTTGTGTGTCGATCTCACCTTGTTTGTCTTGTGGCATGTGGGTATGATGCTGGAACTCGCTTTCAACATCTCTAGACCCAAATGGTGTGTCCCTGCCCCCTTTCCTTACTAGATCTTCTTTTTTGTTCTCTTTTTGTTTTTTTTTGTTTTGTTTTGTTTTTTTTTCTTTTTTTGTTCGATGAAAAAGTTCCAAATCTTTCATTCTTGGAACGCTTGTTTTAGTTGACAAGTGTGTTGTTGAACAGGACCAATGTACTACGAAGGCTTTTATCACTTATTCTACCAGTACAATCCCGGAGGAGCTGTGTGGGGCAACCTTACTTGGGGTCATGCCGTCTCCACAGACCTTATCCATTGGCGTGATCTTGAGCCTGCCTTGAAACCTGACGAATGGTATGACAATGGAGGCGTATGGTCTGGTTCAGTCACTATCTGTCCAGACGGATCACCGTTGATTCTATACACAGGCACGTTTATAAATTACTTAAGAGCCTTGAACCATTTCTTGTTAGTGAAAAGCCTTTCTTACTACTAATGTCACCAGAATTGCACCATCAGGTGTAGCAGATGATCTTGAGCAGTCACAGAACTTGGCGGTACCCGAAGATCTTGCTGATCCTCTTCTTCGCAAGTGGGTGAAAAGTCGAGAGAATCCAATTCTTCGACACCCTGTTGGAATTGATAAAGAGGACTTCAGGGATCCAACAACAGCTTGGCAGGTAAATGATGGCACGTGGAGAATACTAGTTGGAGCCAAAATGGGGAGAGATGGAATGGCGTTGCTTTATAAGAGCGAAGACCTACGTCATTGGGAGCTAGATGAAAATGTGCTGCACACAGTTCCTGGCTCGGGAATGTGGGAATGCTTGGACTTCTTTCCTATTGCACCGTTTGGACGAGAAGGGTTGGACACGTCAGTCAATGGGCCTCATGTCAAACATGTCTTGAAAGCGAGCATGTATGATGATCAGCACGATCATTATGCAGTGGGTACTTATAATTTGTCTACAGAATCGTTCACACCTATCAATCATGCTTTGGACATCCAGCACGGCTTGCATTATGACTACGGGAAGTTTTATGCTTCGAAGTCTTTCTATGACCCAGTGAAGAAGCGTCGCATCGTGTGGGGTTGGTCTAATGAATCCGACAGTGCAGCTCAAGATATTGCTAGAGGATGGGCATCACTCCAGGTAACTCAACTTTCTATGAGTTCAAATCAAGTGTCTGCTCTCAGTTAACTTCTGATTAGCTCTTAATGCTGTTTATCTGTTAATGGCCAGTTTTGGTTGGATTTTTACCGCAGGCAATACCGAGGGTGTTGTGGTTGGACACTGCATTAGGAGACAGCTTAATACAGGCACCTATCGAGGAGGTCGATGATTTGAGGGTCGGCAAGGTTTCCAAAACAGATGTGGATTTGGAGGCAGGCAGTGTCATCAAAATCGAGGGATCCTCTGGAGGCCAGGTTGATATAACATCCCATACCCTTCAAATTATAATATGTAATTTGATCAGAAGGAATCTGAGAACAAGGTCGAGTATAAATAATATGCATGTTAAGATTTATCCTTGAAGAGTGTTCAGGGCTGTGCAGGTGGTTTTGGTAAAAACTCATACTCACGTACTGGAATTCGTGATCGTGAGGTTTGTGAAAGACTGATGACATCTGTGGTTCTCAAATCTCTAAAGCTGGGCAGAGAAGTCTTGGAATCGCATAAGCTATATTCATTATTGAGACATACACAAATACGGTAGTTACTGTGGGTCTTAGCTCATTGTTATTGGCGCAAACTAGATAATGTGATTTTCATTTGTGCTGATCAAGCACTGATAATACCTACTTGTGCATGGACAGCTGGATATTGAAGTCATATTTGAGTACCCCAATGTCTCCAACGTGATAGTTCAAGATTATGGTTTCCTGAATGGACCATTTGACTGTGGTAATGGAGGATCAGCCCAGCGAGGTGTATATGGCCCATTTGGATTGCTGGTGCTCACAGATGACGCTTACCAAGAGCAAACTGCTGTATTTTTCTACATCGCCCAGGACGCCAATCAGCGTTGGGTCACGCACTTTTGCAGTGATCAGAGCAGGTCATATAGCCTCTTGAGAGTCTGGTTATTAAAGCATATCTGAAGTTCAATGCTTTTTTTACGTGACTTCCAAAGCCCTGCTTTGTATTAGTTTATCATGGTTGATCCTAAAGTTGACTTCACCAATGTGCAAACAAAGCTCACTACCAAGACACTGCGCAGATCTTCTCTTTTGCATGATATTGACACAACTGCGTTTTGGAGTGATGTTCGCGTCTTGCCTACTGAGAACTTTCTGTCTCTGCGTGTCCTGGTGGGCTACCTTCACCATTCTATTTCATTTCCTATGAATATGATATATTGTATTTTTCTATGTGCTCCCTGAACATTGTTGTGTTTGGGTCTGACTCTACCTCACGGGAGGAGTTGGACTTGGTTAGCAAAGCATCGTCACTAGTGTGAGATAAGCATCCATTTGTACGTGGAGTCAGCTGATCAGATTAAGATCTCAGTTGTAAGATCTCAGAAAGGTCTATCCTTCCTGATTAACTTTACTTCATTGGACCAGGTGGATCACTCTATCGTTGAAAGTTTTGTTCAAGGTGGACGAATGGCTATAACATCGCGTGTTTATCCTAAAGAAGCGGTGGACGAGAAAGCTCATGTATTCCTCTTCAACAACAGCACAACGCAGATTACAGTTCGCAGCATCAATGTCTGGCAGATGCGGAGTATTACCGTACTCCCCCTTGCATGAGTTGCAATTTTTCATTTGAGATTTTTATGAATCTTTGAATAAGAAATACTGTTTTCCATGTTGGCATCATTACTGCTGAATAAACCATGTTTGTCGTGAGAAAGCTTTACGACGTGCAATCAAAGACGAGTCAACCTCAATTACTAGAAGTTGTGTCTGTTTATGGTCTTATCGTATGCTCATCAGTTCTCTACAATGCTTCGTCGAACACTGATTGGTGAAAATTTCAATTGGGCACTTCAGTTTGGTGTATTACCAGACCCTGAATCTCAAGATCCGTTATGATCAATGTTTAGCCGAGCTTACACCCCACTTCATGCGGTTATACTACCATAATGTCTTGTACTCTGCTATTACTGTGTCGATAAACCGCCAGAAAAGTGTTTTACGAACTTGGATCAGACGGTGAGCTAAACATATTGCCTAAGCCAACAGATTTTGATGCACACAAGTAAATACCGTAGTGTTTCTTAGAACTTAGAAGTGAAGGAATTGTGCACAATCTTTGGAATCATCCAAAATCAGTTATATTGACACCGTCAAAGCAAACGTTCACATTTTTGCCGCATTGGTCTCACTGGACGTCCAAACAGTCCATGGTTGGGCTCTGCACAGAGGAAACATATCTCCAAGGCTAGACCAAAATTATTGTAGCCCTTCAAATATATATTTATGGTTAAATATATACAAGTCTCCAAAACAAAGTACTATCATATTTACTTCTACTAATTTCTTTGAATTCCTAAAACGCTTACAATAGGTGTGATTTCATTGGGATTGTTTGTAATTTATGACAAATTTCAGAATTCTAAATGAAAACAAGTGTAGTATCCCAGTATTTGTATTAAATTATTTTAAAATATTATCAATATTAAAATTTTAATGATATTTATATTCTATAATATTTGAACTATATTAATAATTCTTTGTAATAATCAAGTCAATATTAAAATAATTTTATGATTTTTTTGAATTTACTAGATATTTATAAATTATTATTTTTTTCTTAAAAAAACATAATATTGAAATACAGTATCAATGATATGAATCTATAAAATTTTACTATAGAAAAATATATCCATGAATAAGTTTCAAAAAAAAAAAAAAAAACAATTGTGTTAAGGTTACATTAAATAGATTTAAAGAGAGTTGATTTGAAAGATAGTCTTATGTATATTACAAAAAAATATAACAATTAATTTAGAACATAAAGTTATTTATAACTTAGCAATATAAGTCCCACTTGCAATGCTTAATAAACAATCCAATGCATTGTTTGCAACTTTGATTTCTTATCATTCTTTATACAAACTTGCTTGTCATATATCTTCAAAAATATTAATACAAGAATTTAAAAAGATTTCTACTATCAAAAACAAAAAAGCTATTTCATTCAAACTTTTATATTAATTTATGAGACTTAAAACCTTGACTACATAATCAAGTTATCTTTGAGGTAAATGCCAATTGTATGACTTTTTTACTTTTTACTTTTTACTTTACTATAGCTTTTTCATAGGAACTCCAAATTACTTGTATTTGGTATTATTTGAAAGAAAGATAAAAAAATTACCTACACAAGTATATATATACACATATATTTCATTATCTTGTAACTAAGAATATAATAAATAAATAAAATCTAAATAAATTAAATGTATATTTCTTTTATTCTTCTTCTCTTACCTATTCTTCTTTCTTTCTTTGATTGTACTTCTTAACCACACTATTAACTAAAAGCAATTCTTAAGTGAGACAACCTTGTAATTTAGATTAAGGGATGAATTTTACCTTTACCTAAGGCTTATAGATTAAATGTCAAAATTATATGATGCTTTTACAGCTGCTTTATAAATAAATAGAAAAAATTCCAATGTAAGTCTTTCTGAGCATGTGGCATATTTGAAGAAACTTGAAAATTAAATTTATATTTAAAATAATCTTTTGATAATTATCATAGAAGATAATGATTTTTTTAAACCTATTTCTATTTACTTCTACTTATTTTACTTAACATAAGTAATATGGATATCTATAATTGCTATAGAAGTATAGAAAGATTTTTATTAAAAAGATTAGATTGTAGATAAAAAAAAAGTTAGAAAAGAAAAAAGAAAGAAGACACCATATTATTTGACTGTGTTCCAAAATGTTTTTAGTATTTTACTTTTATAATCTGATCTTTTTCAAAACTATTAAGAAATTCATCATTCAATTCTTGCACAATGATTCATCACAAAAACTAAAATTTAAATTAACCAAATCCTGTAAGAATCTATTAACTGAAGTTATATGACATTTGGATTATTTGGATTATTTTGGAATTTATTAATTGAAATAAATTAACTGAAGTAATATGACATTTGGATTATTTTGGAATGTACCAATAGATCTTCAAGTACAATAAATTGAGACCAGATAAAAAGCTCATGACTTCATTCTGCACAATGTAATCTTCGGTGCTTGCATTGCCTCTAAAACCAGACAAAAAATGATTCCTTGAGGTCTTTCCTTGTTCTCAACTTCTCATGTGTTTGGATGAACACAGAAGTATCATGCGATTTTCCAGAAAGTCATGCAGAATTTTAAGGAGTCGGTGTTTTGACTTCTCCTCTGAGCAGCTCGGCAATGCCATCGTCAACCTGCACAGCGTTAATTGCATATGTGATCCCATGTTTTGGATTGACGATCTTAAGCTGACGGTGATTATGCAGAAATTAACGCAGAGAATGACATGCTTCTGGTACCCACCTGCTGAATAGTCTGGCCGTACACAAAATCCTAGATCAGGGAGCTATCTATCTCTTGAGAAGGTGGGCTTGCCGGAACAAAGCACCGATGCACTGCCACATACGGACCTGCTCGTGGCTTGTCCACCACAGTGAGTCCGTATTCTGAAAATTGGTCATCTCTCTACGGTATGGATTTTCGTGAACACCTCCGCCAAGCATCGTCATTTAGGGGTTCTTGCGTTTATTAGAGCTGTCTTGTGGATCTTTAAGAAACGGTTCTTTGATTCGGGATCGCTCCTTAGTTCCCACCTTTTGAAGATTAAAACCCTGGTTCTCACCTTCCTACAAATTGCACCTTCTTCTCACAACACTCCATTTCACCCTCGTTTCAGCCTTAGGTTGGGTTGAAATCGTACCTCTTCCGGTATTCCATGTAGGTCTCCTACTTAGCCTTGGTGGAGGTGATTGACTACGGCTCTTTAGTCTCTGCGTTGCGCTACTTGATCGGGGCGAATGACTTCGTCCCCGGGGTTGAGCTCTGCTGTGGTTTACAGGCAGCTCCAGCGTCTTTTCTTTTACCGACGCCAGAATTGTTTGAAGCTTTGGCCGCTGTTAGTATGCGAAAAACTTTCACAAGTTCAGCTCCTAGTGCTCCGCATTTGTTCTCTGCTAATAATGCACCCTCAAGGGCTGATTGTACGCCAATCAAGACATGCTCCACCTTGTTGCCCAGTAGCCTGTATGGAACGGAGATCATCAGCTCATAGCCTATTTTAATTGGCAGCTAGAGAATAGGCATTTTCTTAGAAAACAATCGTAGATCTGCTCTTCATGCTTTTCACGTGATTCTTGCTTGAATCAACTTACTGTAGATTATTCAACGTTGCTGATGCTACGTGCTCAATGCGACTTTCCAGCCCACCTATAAGAACACTAATAGCTGGCACCCGGTCTGCGCTCAAAGCACCTATCTGCTCCAAGTTAAGCATTTTCCTGTGGTTAAGTAGAAGAACTGAGCATGAGATAATGGAGGGCAGTCTACAGTCGGCATCAAAAACCTATGCTTTGATCCTCCAAGAAACCGAATATGAATAGCCTATGCATAACGAAAGATTCTCCATCCTGTGATACCAGAGCTATTAACATTAGATTGAAAAAACCTCCGCAGTGGAATTCAACCTCTGCAGCACGTCAACACTTCCTGCCAACATCCCCAATTCTGCTTTCTGCGATTGTTCGTCATGCTGAATATCACTCAATGTGCATTCCACCACCGCAATGCGAGTTTCCACCTCAGCAATTGACTGTGTTCAAAAATGTCATTATTTACAGTTGCTCGAATTTAGGGATAGAAGAATCGTTTCTTTACCATGATCCAGACACATAATCATCAAATACTTTCACATCGGTGGAGAAACGCCATATCAGTCACCTTCTCATGTAAAAGTCAGCATCGTTTAAAATTGAGAAAATATGAATGAAGTTTTGATTGCACCTGAAAGCAGCTACACGCGATATCCTCAACACGATCTTCATGTCCTTTGAGATCTCTTTCTAGATCTTGTGAACCTGTAGTTGACACAGCCAGAATTTCCATGCTTTCAACTTTGACCTCAGCTGCCAGACTGACTGGTTGCGGATATACGTTGTCCCGACTCAACCCCTCGATTTTCTCCTCCAGATTCTTCATTTTGAAGGATGTATCGTTTTCAAATCGTGCTGCAGCATCATTTTGAGGAAGGAAAATGTTGATCGTTTTCTCAAGGGAACAAGTACTTGACCGAACTTCTCCAACGGAATTAATAGAGTTGGTCTGATTACCCTCAAACCACTTCAATCTTTTACGCAAGTCGGTATGCTTTGAGAAAGTTTCATTCACTCGTTCTTCCACATTCCGAATAACCCGGAGTGATTTCGTTAATCAGGCCTCTTATTTTAACTATTGTATTTTTAAGCTACTAAAACGAACACATCTCTTATAAAGCTTGATCATAACAGATCAGGAATCGTTTGGGTACAGTGGATAAGACTAGTGAACATGATGACTGAACTGAACGGTTCATAAGTGTTAGATAATTAAATATGCATCCCTTGTTAAGACTATTACTAAATTTTCTATATATATTGTTTTTGAACCGGAGCAGTGAAGGAATAGAACCTGGTTCAGCTTTTCCATGTTGTCAGTCCAATCCTTCTCTACTCGCTCGTTCTTCTGGTTCCCAAATCGTCCCTTCTCGACATTGTGGCTGTTATTTGAGCCGTGCAGTTGTTCAACAGTTGTCATGAGACTAAGTTTCTCTTCCGTCTGGACAACAGCAAACGATAGATATGGGTTAGCGCTATCACAGAATTATTGCCTTCAACAAGATAGCAAGATACGTTCAAACGCTTGCACCATACCAGTCGAATAAGATGAATGTCAATCAATCCAGGAGATTCTTGGAATATAAGCTTAGGGATTTTATTGTTTCCTCCTCCCTAATCACATGAAAGATAGCTGACCTTCAAGGTGTAGCGTTCTTAATCCGTTGGGATCGATAAACCCGCTAATTGGCTCAGGTTTTCATTACCAAACCCCTCCATAATTGCTCTATCTTTTGTAACATCTCCATTGATTGCCTGTTTCCAGGTAGAAATGGCGAATTCAAGTTCTTCGCTAATCTGGTCCCGCACTTCCTCACTATGCTGGGTGCCACGCCCACTCTCATGCTCAAGTTCCTCCTGCACATCATTGCCATAAATCGGTGAATTCTACCTGATTTGAACCACAATCATGATGTATTATCAAATGGAACTTGCGAGAGGTAAGGAATAGAGATTTCGGTAAGAATCTGAAGCTGCATGTTTACGTGACAATTTATAGCCATCTCCACGTTAGAGGAACCCAAGACCTCAGCAAGCAACTCTCCTGCCTTCATGGCAGACGCGGTCGTTTCTACAACGGCTTGCGATGCAGCATCCCGTTCCTCGTGGAAAACCATCGTGGCCGTCAGCAGTTTTGGACTCCCTTTCTCCATAGAACCCTGCAGTTCGTGACTCTTTTTCCACACGTCTTGAAAAGCAACGAGGGTGGCCCCTTTCTCTTTCAGCACCTCCTGGTTCACCAGCCGCATCTTGGATGCCGCAGCATTTGCCATGTCCTTCTGGCTAGGCGATTTCTCCTGTATGCGTATGGTGGATGGTTATACAACCAGACGGAAAAATTGAAATGATCAGGTGAGAGTCTATAACTAAAACTAACCGCGAGAATTCTCTGCAGCATACTCACAAAAAAAACCCACCTGGTGCAGCATGCTTTTGCGTCATGCAATAGTTACTTCACCTTCAATGGATGCCAAAGTGCAAATTAATATTTCTATTTCTTTTGTTGCTGAGTAAGGTGCATCGGGCGGTGCTTGAGCAACAACCCTTTTTTGCCCTATGGCGGCCTGAAAAGTTCGCGTTAAATACTCGCCTCTATCCTGCCACATCTAAAGTATGATACATGCCCACCAAGTTTATCACTTGCGGCCTAAAATCATGTACAAATACATTTGACATTTTTCAGCATCGAGATAACTGTACCATGGCTTCCTGCATCTGTTGATATGAAAACAGCCAACGATGTTCAAATTTCCAAATAACTTGATCAAGATGCGTACCTGCGTCTGATTCAATTTCGCTGTCAAGGCATTCATGTCGTGTTTGCGGGTATCCGTTATTTGCAGAACCTTCTCACGGGCACTATGCAACTTTTTCTGAATCTCCAATTTTAACATATTTAACATCTTTCTTTTGTTGCCCGCGAGAGCATCCACAACTTTGCGCCAAATCGAAATGCTCTCTCTCTCAAGCATTTCCTTGAAGAAACCACGTTCAATATCCACCATCTGTGTAATTCGGCAACGGAATTGATCTAGCTCCTCTGATAGCACCAGTCAGTATTTGAGAATTCTGGAAATTAGAGATGAAGAGGAATGGGTGCTCCAAAATCAACGATAATTACTTTTCCGTGTCATATATTGAAGCAATAAAACTGGTGAAACAAAAAGTGTTCTGTATTTAACGTTATCATCATTGTAGATATGTAATTGGTTACTTGGCGTGGCAATGAGGAACCGCTATCCTCGCAAGCCACCTCCCGATGTCTCTTCAAGCTATCCCACTGACTTTCAACCTTGTCTACACGCTTGTTGCAACTATGGTTCACATCGCACATGTCTTGTCTCACGTCCTCCAATCCACCCAAGTAGAGCTGTGAGAGACATTCGATCCTCTCCATGATCAAGAGCCGCTCGCGGGTGCCCTCTGCTAATGCCATCTCCTTCTCTCCAGCCATTCCTTTTGTCTCGTCTTGCACCTTCCCCAACCTTGTTCTGAGATCCCCAAGTTCGACCTGTAAAAACTCCATCAGAGCACACTAAACACGAGCTTCGAGCCTATAATTCTTGCTTGCCCGCTTTCAAATTCAATTTTCTCACACAAACTTTGATGTTTGATAAGAAAAGAGCCCATTAATCTTGGTCTCTCAGTCTAAATAAAAGTTAGGCTAGTTTGTATGATGCACATATGGATTCAGGTCATCCTGATACCTTTAAGACCTTCTCAATATTCTTCAGCCCTTGGATCTCCAACTTCATATCCGTTTCACCGTTCTTTATCTTCTCCATGGTTTGCCTCAATTCTTCTTTGACCGTTTCCATTATCACCTGCACAACATCATACAGAAATGGTGGCTGTCATGCATACACTTGTGAAGATTCTTGACAAGCCGAATCATGAAGCAAGTCAGGGAGATGATAGCATTCGTAGAAGCAGCCAGCTAAATAATCCTGAGAAGCTTTTTCAGACTTCGATCAGTTAAAAGCTTTGCAAAGAAACGTTGACTGCAAGTCCTTTGACTTGAACACCCTCATCTGCAGAACACTTAATGCTGGGGGAGTGTTAAGGCAACTGCTAAACTTTACTATGGCGCTGGATGAAGAGATGTATGACCTCCGCACCATCATCCTGAAGAGATTGCAACTCATTGCGTAAAGAACCATTCTCTGATTTCAGCATATCCTGTTCCTTTTTTGCAACGACCGTGAGGTGCTCAACGTGATTTGCCAAGTCCTGCCTGCTCTTTATCAAGGAATCCATCTCGCTCCATAGAAGCTGCATCTCGTTCTTCACCTCTGCCCAGCCACTGCCTAACGGCAGTGACTTAAGCTGTCTTTCTATCCTCTCCTCCACCATCATCTGGACCTAAGACTATCAAAATATCACTCCACCGTCTCTGTATGGAATAAACACAACGTACACAATCATGTATATGTAGCAATAAAAAAAGAATTATAAGCCTAATTCATACCTAAATACTTTATTGAAATCACGAAGTACCTGTTCTCTTTCTCGTTGGAAGAGCTTCTCAGTATCTACCTTGAATTCTAATAACTTAGTTTTGATCTCATTCTTGAAATTGTCTTTCTCCGAAATCAACTCATTTTCTATCTCCTTCACGCTCTCTAGCTCCATTTCTAAGCGGTCGACACCACCCCGCCATCCTTCGCCTTCGACCTCAATCCCGATTTTTTCACCCTCCATTGAGCCTTTTAGTTCACCAAATGCCCTCTGTAGATGTGCAATTTTCTCGTCGTTTGCGTTGTAATGAGCCTTCTGCAAAGCTCACATGTACAGACTCATTGGTGGAAAAATACAGCCTCGGAAAATATAGCATACTTGCTACGTTCCAAATATAGAACTGCAAACTTAACACACTTTTAATTGTGGCATCCAATTAGGATTGAAGTTTGGGCATCTTCACCTCGTAATTTCTGCGTCTAAAAGCTCGGCCCCTTGATTCGACAGCAGGAGAGTGGAGGACCTGTTGATCCTGCAACTTTCCTCCAAGTTGTAGATGACTGGTAGAAGAGTTAGAACTCGATGCATTTCCTGCCGGTGAATTGGTATTCTGCTCTACCAAAGTCAGATGAGCCGCCGTCCCAAGCGGTGGTGTCAATGGACCTAAATAATCTCCATGAGTGAGTCTAATCATCGTTTTATTGAGCGACTCCAGCGATGTTCGCTCAAGAGAGCATGGTTGATCAATTATATGACGTGACGACGCCAATCTGTCGACTCTGTGCTCCTCAGTGAACTCTTCCACACTGTCCTTGACATGATCTTGACCATGATTGTCACGCGAGATGCCGCCTTCATCTAGATCTATTTCGTCCACGGATTGCAGCTGTAATCTTTCGGCTTTGTTTTTCACTTCTTCTCTCATTTTTGTATCCTTAACAATATCTTTCAGCAGACTCGTTTGGCGCCGGAGAGGCTCCCAGTTTTGATCCACACCGTGCTGGGCTGCCAGCGGTAGCGAGGCTCCCTTAATCACCCTTACGGATGCTGATGCTGGCCGGTTCTCCACTAATCTATGTGATCCATCTGTAGTCATGAAGGCTTGCGTGGCTACTCCAGTAGCGTCTTGGCAACTTTGTAGCTCCTCTAACCTCTGACTTCCCCTTACAAACTCACCTTTCCATTCACGCAAGCCACGTGTTGGCTCTCTTCGAAATCTCCTTTGCTGATGACCAAGTTGGCTTAGATCCGAAGGTGAGCTATATCTGTCATAGCCGCTGTCATTTGAGTTACGCTGCGATGCCCGGACATTTTGACGTCTCGGAATTCTCACAACTGTGCGCTCTTCCTCTTCCAAGTCTGTCTTGCTGGCTGCTAACGTTTTATTTGATCCGTTCCTTGAAATTTCCCAAACCAACCCTCCTGACGCACGGTGATTGGCAAACTTCGATCTGCCTGAGAGAGTGGAAGCTGGTCTCGTTGGACCTAATGTGGTTGTGGAACCTCGATTGATATGCACTTCGTCTCTATTCTCTGCAACATATCGCTTGCCACGATTTGAGACGTTGGATGGTTTCTCATAAGCGGAGCATTCTTCATCCAAGGACCTTACTTTGATCGCACTTGATGTCAAAGTTTTTAAAGCAGTGCTACCCCGGCCGTAAGTTATTGAAGGTCCTACTCCTCCACTCATGCGCGATGAATTCCGACTTCTAGGAGGTGGACCTCGGTATGACTTATTATCACCTGAATAGCAAGTAATTCTTCATGATCAGCATTCATGAGGCTCCCATGAACGTAAAAAACTCTTACGTAAAAACTGGCTGAAATTCGCGACATTCTTTTCGTCGGTGAACAGCTTCCCGAGTGAATAGGCTTTTACGTCACGGTGTAGTAGGTTCAGTATTGCAGTGAGGATTGCAAGCAGTCACTAATCTTTTTTCTCAGCTGCCCAGGTGATTGTATACCTGTCTTACCTTCTCATCCCGTTTTGACAACAATCCCATTGTGGGTCACTTGCGTGACTAACAATCCCACGCAACAAGGTTCCGATACCAACACCAGACGAGACTAAAATCCCGCGAGTGTACTTACTTGATGTACGGTTGCCAATGCCCTGGGCAGACGACGGCCTGGCTCGTTCAATTTCAGTCAGTGTGGGCGTCGGAGCGGCTTTAAAAGTGACGAGGGTAGCACTTGCCCCTCTCTTCAATCGCTGAATCAAAGAAACAGGTTTTGCCGCAGCAGTGGCGACACCGAAGGTTCCGGTCATATTGACAGTCGAGCGTTGCTACTGCTGCTCAAACAAGACTTCACTGATTCCAATATTCTTGGGAGTTTTCAACATGGCACCAGAAGTGATTTTAGGCCGAGGCGATTCCACACTCTTCGTGACACTAACAATGTAGCTACGAAGCGTGCAAACATTTAAAAACTAAAGCCAAATCTTAACAAAGATTTGAATTTAGTAATCACCGCAAGTCGCATCCGAAGTATTGAACACACCGTGCACTGCCCAGACCTCGTCCACAAACACCGTAAAACGTTACATCAACTGACTCAGCAGTAAACCAAATGACTCCATCAACATTGAATACGGATACAGCTTTTGAAAGGAAACGTAACCAAGACATTTACAGAAACATAATAAACTCCAGCTCAAAGCCGACCAAAACATGACTCATTACAGCGAGCAACATCCCCAGAGCATTCTCCACCCAAACCCTTCCAAAATACGTGCGACACATCTGAGTCCACACCTCCGTTTATAAAACCAATGAATAAAAAAAGTCCAAGCATCCAAAATATACACTTCAAAAGTAAACGATGCCCTCTAAAGAAAAGGAAACGCCATAACTTCAAAAGAAAAAAGAAACTCTCTGGAAATTACCCCCTGCATTTCCACTGAGAAACCCTAAAAAACTTCTCTATCACAAGTAGTGCTCCTCTGCACAACCACTGAAAGAGTCCCTTCCGATACCATTCTTAAAAACAAAATTGTAACCGAGTTTGGTGAGGGATCAGAGCCAACCGCAAGCTCCAATGCAAACAAAATCCATGGGTATGAAAAGAGCATAACTCAGAAGAGCTAAACATATCGAAATTGCAGACCCCACGGCAGCAGCACATATGTGAACGACTGCTGCAACAATCATCAGCTAGAAACCAACAAACATGGCACGCTCTCCCGCACCGCTGATTCTAACCATGGGAACAGCCATTACAAGCCGTTAGATCAGCCCAGCTCCACCCTCCATCCCACGATAGATACTTCCACAGTTCAAATATTCCACATGCCCATTTTCAATGCCAACTCAGCCAAAGCACTGCCAGTCATCCACAAAATAAACGATGTCCATTCAACCGTCACCACTCACCATTCCAGCTGGTAACCAACGCAGGCTTCCAAGTAACCCATTTCAATCATGAAAAAGTAATACATTCTACTCCACCTTATCAACTCAATACATACACACACAAACACACCTCCATACATACACACACAAAAACACATCCCCACAAACACATACACAACGCACAGGATAGATGAGACATCCAAGCCAAGGACACCGGAGTACACAGCCATTGGCAATCGTTTCTGTAACTCACTTCCATTCAGCCTTCCTTGCAACCTCCACCTGCTTTACGTCATACTCCTCCTCCACTACTCCCCAACTCTCCACACCACCTCCACCGTGCCTTCCATCAATGTACACATCACCAAACTTCCACTCTCACCCTCTGCCTCCACTTCCACTCCTACACCACTACCATAGCTCACGTCTCTACAGGCTGCACCTCCATGTCAAGCCTATTTACACAAACATCGCATTCCACCGCCATAAATTCCATATCACAAAACAAACCAACCAAAACTACGTCCATGTCTCTCATCCTACCAAACCGATCATCTACACCGCCTCCATTTCTACTCTACACCTCTCCCTCACAACGCGAACGCCCTCTTGTTCGAGTCCTCCACCAGACTGCGCACCACCTTCTCGGGGTACCCGGGATACAGGTTCAAGAAGTGCCCGTACCCGGGAAGCTCGTGGTACGTCACCCACGCCAAGCTGCTCGCCACGTGCTTCTGTAGGTTGGCAGGAACCAGGTAGTCCTCCGTCCCCTGCCAAATGTGCACCGGAATCTCGAACGGGTTATCCAAACCCATCGGTGTGAACGGCCACTCCGAAAACATCACCATCACATCTCTATGCACGGATTCGAACTTGCCCTGCTGTGATACCTCCTTGAAGTGCTGCACACATCCATCACACACACATATCAGCCCACACACCTCGTGAAGTCCCTCACCGATCCTCACGCCCAATCCAACTTCGTCATACCCCATTCCTCCCACACAGCTCCTAACCCAGGCCCTTCTCCGCCATGCAAACCTTCACCCACACACCACGCAACAAAATCATCACCACAACCCACGCATGACTCCCGTCATTGCCACGGCCGCGACATGTACCTCGGCAGGAGTCATTTCAGGCATCTTCTTTAGTATTTCCTGGTCCTTTCCATTCAAAGCCGTGATCCCGTCTTCGCTCTCCACGGTCGCCGTTGGGAACCGTTTCTGACTGTTGTACCAATATGTCAGCTTCGGAACGTAATGAGTGATCGTCAAAGATATCTTATCCCCGATCCGCTGCGTATTCCATGCCTTGCTCATCTCCGACTTCGGGAACCCCGGCCACCAGAAGTTTACCACCGGTGCCGAGAACGCCACTCCTGCAAGCCTCTCCGGCTTGTATTTCAACAGCCCCCAACCCGTATACCCTCCGATCGAAGTCGCGATCGCGTAGAACTTCGGTCTCAATCCAAGCCCGTCTGCCAGGTCCACAACATCCTCTGCATCCGACTGAATGGACCGCCTCGGATTCGGGTCACTTTGCCCATACCCGGCTCTGTCGAACGACACCACGTGCAGACCAAGCTCACTCATCACCTCCTGCATCACAATCGTTTCAGTTACAACCTCATCGCGCGCGTGCCCGCACTTTCACCCGCACAACCACCCACCGTAACCAAATCCACACTTTCACAAGTGTCCCGACACACCCTCCATCACCCTCCCACTCTCCTCCAACCAAACGCGCCTCTAACCCCTCGCACATGCTTGCCCGAATTCAACAATCTACGCACCCACTGCTCATATCAACTCAGCAACTCACACGCGGAATCCCTGCGCACTCAACTCAGCTCATTTCATGTGCCCACTGCACATACACAAATCTCCCCACACCCCTCCGCACCACGCCCACCGTCCCGGTCCCAACAGCACCACTCACCTCCGGAATCGGCAAACTCTTCAGCCGCGACCCACCGTAGCCATGAATGTGCACAACGTAGTGCCTGGCCCTCTCCTTCTTCACACCCATCTCCTGATAAGCCAAGTATCTGCCATCGCGCATCTCAATTCGCGGAGCCGTCACCTTCGGTCCGTCGGGACTGTTCAGCTCATTCACCGGCGGTGGAGTGATTGCCTTGAACACCATGCTCCCCACCACCACTCCAACCAGCATCACCAGCCTTCGCACAAAACCTGCACCACATGCGCATCCGATGGTCAACCGAAATCGCCCCCGCACACCTGCCAGACTTCGCTCCATTCCCAATGCCGTCAGTGCAAACCAACCAACACACAATCGGCCAACGCTTCGCACTCCCTACGAATCCCGCTCCACGCGCACGGGGCGTCGGACCACTTCAAACACACAAATCGCTACATTCCAACACTTCGATCATCCAACGTATGCGGAAACTTTTCCCCACACTCATGCTCCAAACCTCTCGCAAGCGTGGACTGTGAAACCCGCATTACAACGTTCGCAACCGGGACGACACCATCCACAAACACCACCCGCCACAGAACCCACAAATGCCACCAACTAAACCAAATCCCCTCCACCTCCTACTCTGTACCGGCGTCGACGACGACGACAACAACACCTGAACAACGACGATACACGGCACAAGCGACGAAAAAGAACGGGCACCTGAAAACCCCGGCCCTCGCCTGGGAGCATCGCGCCGGGTGTGCGAGCGTGCCGAAGCTGCAGAGATCCTGGGCTTCCGCCCCACTTCCGCCATAGCTCCAGGTGGGATCCAACTCCGCCCGACCAACGCGACAGGATAGAAGAGAAGAGAAGAGAAGAGAAGAGAAGGAGCTGAGCCAAGGTCGATCAAACGGCAGCAACAAGATGATGAGTTGGTGGAGGGGGAGTCGGTTTCAAGCAGTCATGGCAACATGCACCATGCGACGAGGTGTGAAGTGCGATGGCAGTGGAGTGAGTGATGGTAGCGAGGGGATGTCAGGTTAGGGTTAGGATTAAGAGCAGCGAGGAGGAGGAGGAGGAGTCCATGTGTGTGTGTGGACGGCGCAAGGGAACACACTCCTCACTTCCTCCGTGACTCGACTCCACTTGACTTCACTGGATTGGATTGCTGTTGAAGCGCAGCCTGCTAACCCCCGGGCTGAGAGACTCATTTCAATGTTGTTTTTATTTGAAAACTTACAGTATTATGTGGCAGTTTAATCGTGTGCATGTTTCCAAGTTGTTTTGCATGGGTTTTGTTGTAGTTCGTGATCGGAGTATTATTTAATAGTGTAGAACAGATGCTTCATGGTTGGTTACAATTGGCTTAGGTTGTTTAAAGTGGGGATTTCTATCTAATATGTGGGTAACTTTGTAATATTCTTTATTGTCACTTTATCTGTGTAGAATAATGTCCTGTTGTGATTTGAATATAGAACTGATATTTATTATCGTTTCAGAATTTTTTTGTAATTCGATATTTTACCTTTTTTTCTTAATCCAAACATTAAACAATTTGATAACAAACTTGTTTTTAATTACATATGATTTGTGGATGTTGTAAAAAAAATATGAGAGAGGAAGAAAATATCTGCTCAATTCAGGAACCTTTAATACTCTTTGCAATTTGTGTAGAATAAACCTATAAAAAAGATTAACAAAATAGACAGTAAAGCAAATGATTATCTTATATTCTAATCCAATTATCTGTTAATAAACATTTGTAACCAACCATGAAGCATCTGTTCTACACTATTAAATAATACTCCGATCACGAACTACAACAAAACCCATGCAAAACAACTTGGAAACATGCACACGATTAAACTGCCACATAATACTGTAAGTTTTCAAATAAAAACAACATTGAAATGAGTCTCTCAGCCCGGGGGTTAGCAGGCTGCGCTTCAACAGCAATCCAATCCAGTGAAGTCAAGTGGAGTCGAGTCACGGAGGAAGTGAGGAGTGTGTTCCCTTGCGCCGTCCACACACACACATGGACTCCTCCTCCTCCTCCTCGCTGCTCTTAATCCTAACCCTAACCTGACATCCCCTCGCTACCATCACTCACTCCACTGCCATCGCACTTCACACCTCGTCGCATGGTGCATGTTGCCATGACTGCTTGAAACCGACTCCCCCTCCACCAACTCATCATCTTGTTGCTGCCGTTTGATCGACCTTGGCTCAGCTCCTTCTCTTCTCTTCTCTTCTCTTCTCTTCTATCCTGTCGCGTTGGTCGGGCGGAGTTGGATCCCACCTGGAGCTATGGCGGAAGTGGGGCGGAAGCCCAGGATCTCTGCAGCTTCGGCACGCTCGCACACCCGGCGCGATGCTCCCAGGCGAGGGCCGGGGTTTTCAGGTGCCCGTTCTTTTTCGTCGCTTGTGCCGTGTATCGTCGTTGTTCAGGTGTTGTTGTCGTCGTCGTCGACGCCGGTACAGAGTAGGAGGTGGAGGGGATTTGGTTTAGTTGGTGGCATTTGTGGGTTCTGTGGCGGGTGGTGTTTGTGGATGGTGTCGTCCCGGTTGCGAACGTTGTAATGCGGGTTTCACAGTCCACGCTTGCGAGAGGTTTGGAGCATGAGTGTGGGGAAAAGTTTCCGCATACGTTGGATGATCGAAGTGTTGGAATGTAGCGATTTGTGTGTTTGAAGTGGTCCGACGCCCCGTGCGCGTGGAGCGGGATTCGTAGGGAGTGCGAAGCGTTGGCCGATTGTGTGTTGGTTGGTTTGCACTGACGGCATTGGGAATGGAGCGAAGTCTGGCAGGTGTGCGGGGGCGATTTCGGTTGACCATCGGATGCGCATGTGGTGCAGGTTTTGTGCGAAGGCTGGTGATGCTGGTTGGAGTGGTGGTGGGGAGCATGGTGTTCAAGGCAATCACTCCACCGCCGGTGAATGAGCTGAACAGTCCCGACGGACCGAAGGTGACGGCTCCGCGAATTGAGATGCGCGATGGCAGATACTTGGCTTATCAGGAGATGGGTGTGAAGAAGGAGAGGGCCAGGCACTACGTTGTGCACATTCATGGCTACGGTGGGTCGCGGCTGAAGAGTTTGCCGATTCCGGAGGTGAGTGGTGCTGTTGGGACCGGGACGGTGGGCGTGGTGCGGAGGGGTGTGGGGAGATTTGTGTATGTGCAGTGGGCACATGAAATGAGCTGAGTTGAGTGCGCAGGGATTCCGCGTGTGAGTTGCTGAGTTGATATGAGCAGTGGGTGCGTAGATTGTTGAATTCGGGCAAGCATGTGCGAGGGGTTAGAGGCGCGTTTGGTTGGAGGAGAGTGGGAGGGTGATGGAGGGTGTGTCGGGACACTTGTGAAAGTGTGGATTTGGTTACGGTGGGTGGTTGTGCGGGTGAAAGTGCGGGCACGCGCGCGATGAGGTTGTAACTGAAACGATTGTGATGCAGGAGGTGATGAGTGAGCTTGGTCTGCACGTGGTGTCGTTCGACAGAGCCGGGTATGGGCAAAGTGACCCGAATCCGAGGCGGTCCATTCAGTCGGATGCAGAGGATGTTGTGGACCTGGCAGACGGGCTTGGATTGAGACCGAAGTTCTACGCGATCGCGACTTCGATCGGAGGGTATACGGGTTGGGGGCTGTTGAAATACAAGCCGGAGAGGCTTGCAGGAGTGGCGTTCTCGGCACCGGTGGTAAACTTCTGGTGGCCGGGGTTCCCGAAGTCGGAGATGAGCAAGGCATGGAATACGCAGCGGATCGGGGATAAGATATCTTTGACGATCACTCATTACGTTCCGAAGCTGACATATTGGTACAACAGTCAGAAACGGTTCCCAACGGCGACCGTGGAGAGCGAAGACGGGATCACGGCTTTGAATGGAAAGGACCAGGAAATACTAAAGAAGATGCCTGAAATGACTCCTGCCGAGGTACATGTCGCGGCCGTGGCAATGACGGGAGTCATGCGTGGGTTGTGGTGATGATTTTGTTGCGTGGTGTGTGGGTGAAGGTTTGCATGGCGGAGAAGGGCCTGGGTTAGGAGCTGTGTGGGAGGAATGGGGTATGACGAAGTTGGATTGGGCGTGAGGATCGGTGAGGGACTTCACGAGGTGTGTGGGCTGATATGTGTGTGTGATGGATGTGTGCAGCACTTCAAGGAGGTATCACAGCAGGGCAAGTTCGAATCCGTGCATAGAGATGTGATGGTGATGTTTTCGGAGTGGCCGTTCACACCGATGGGTTTGGATAACCCGTTCGAGATTCCGGTGCACATTTGGCAGGGGACGGAGGACTACCTGGTTCCTGCCAACCTACAGAAGCACGTGGCGAGCAGCTTGGCGTGGGTGACGTACCACGAGCTTCCCGGGTACGGGCACTTCTTGAACCTGTATCCCGGGTACCCCGAGAAGGTGGTGCGCAGTCTGGTGGAGGACTCGAACAAGAGGGCGTTCGCGTTGTGAGGGAGAGGTGTAGAGTAGAAATGGAGGCGGTGTAGATGATCGGTTTGGTAGGATGAGAGACATGGACGTAGTTTTGGTTGGTTTGTTTTGTGATATGGAATTTATGGCGGTGGAATGCGATGTTTGTGTAAATAGGCTTGACATGGAGGTGCAGCCTGTAGAGACGTGAGCTATGGTAGTGGTGTAGGAGTGGAAGTGGAGGCAGAGGGTGAGAGTGGAAGTTTGGTGATGTGTACATTGATGGAAGGCACGGTGGAGGTGGTGTGGAGAGTTGGGGAGTAGTGGAGGAGGAGTATGACGTAAAGCAGGTGGAGGTTGCAAGGAAGGCTGAATGGAAGTGAGTTACAGAAACGATTGCCAATGGCTGTGTACTCCGGTTTCCTTGGTTAGGCATGGGTTGAATGGGATTATTGCTTTCAGTCATTTCTAGTTCTTTTTAAATAACCTGCGGTACCCATGCACACTTGGTAGTTCCCCGACGGTGAAGACTCAACTGTCAAATCTTGTGAGAATTTTTTCAGTCCAGGGTTCTAGGTATGACGATATTCCTAATTATCTTATCTTCGGAACTATTTGTCAAGTTCATACTTATGGGTCGTGGCCTTTTTTCTTCTTTTTTCGTTTTTCTTTTCTTCTATTTGATGGCTTTGTCTCTTACATGCTATGTTTAGTGTTGGCATCTTGGATCAACCTTGTGTAGTCCGGGTCGTTGGTGTTCTTAAACACGATAAGTTCTTTTTGAACTGATTTTTCAGCACCAAGTACCTGTTGATTTAGCCTCTTTATAATTACACTAATACGCACTGCAGTTTGAAGATGAACTACTTCCTGTGAGCCACAAGGCTAATCCCTGCCCACTGCTGAAGTCTCCTTTTCCCTCAAATGCATTTGTCGGCTCTATCTGAAAGACGTCCAGTTCGTTTTTTTTTCTTTTTTTCTTTTTTGAAACATTTCAGCGTCTACTTACTTATTTAAGAATATCAAGAGCAGTTAATTACAACTAGTACTTTGTGAAGGTTTTGGAGTGGGATAGAATTTATGGAGCTTTTGCAGAGGAGTTGAGTTTCACCTAATAAAGTTTTTGAACTAACAGATTCTAAGTTTGTTTTTTCTAATCCATACTGTATGAAACGTCTAGAATGGCTAAGTGTTTTTAGAGGGTTTTTTATTTTTGTGTTTTTATATCTACAAACTAGCTTTTTTATGTCCTTAAAGATGGTTCCATGTTGGTGGTTTGAGTATTGTATTAGGTCATATCTCATTCTTTAAGCATTGTTTTGATTTTTGGATTTGAAATAAATATTCATGAGTTGCTTGCAACGATGAACTTGGGTTGAGAGTGGTGCTTGTTTAGTCGGATGCCTTAAATTTGTGATTGTCGTTTTTGCTCATTTGGAAAATTGTTTTGAGGTTGTTACCGGTAAATTGTGGCCTCAAAAATCCATCGCTTGTTGTGCGTAAGTAGTAATCTTTTGTTTTTGCATAAACAATTTTGTCTGTCAGTATTAGTATGTCCAGCACCAAAATATGGAATATTCTAATGCAGTTTGATTTATTTTTGAACAGATCAATCCGTATGTTGACATAAACACTAACGCACCATTCTACTTGGTTTGTAAAGATGCTGATTACAAGGATTATGATTGTTCATGTTCCTTCATGCGAATCTGGCACAGTCATTGAAATTGAGTACG